TTCTCTATTCTGTTATAGGGAGATGTGGCCGAGTTGGTTGAGCAGGAGATCTTCCAATGGAGGGGTCTCAGGTTCGAACCCCCCTGCATGCTTTCTCGGTCGAGCTCGTTGCACGGGGCTTGCCTAGTGCAATTTACCTCTACTGTGTAGTTTGTGGGCCGTTACACTAGAGCGAGGCTTACCTTAGTGACTGTGGGTTCCCTTGTCATAAAAAATGACAATTTCACATAGCATGTCCAATATCTTGAATGCATTTTTTTATGTACTGGTGTAGATGACCTCGAACCATGGATGAGATGGGGCTACTACTTATCTCCTATGACGTATGGACAGAATGCAATTGCCATCAATGAGTTTCTGGACGAAAGATGGAATACTGTAAGCTCTACTATTTATTGGTTCATCGAAAAAGCAACATAAAATGGTTTGATATTTTCCATCAACATTAATTATCTTGACACATCCTATTCGTTGCTCTTTGCAGCCCAACGACGACACAAGATTTTCTGAGCCAACAGTCGGCAAGGTTCTTCTCAAGGCAAGGAGCATGTACACTTCAGACTATGCTTTCTGGCTCTGTGTTGTTGCCCTATTTGCGTTCTCGTTTTTGTTCAACATTTGCTCTATCTTGGCACTGACATACCTAAACCGTAAGTCTCAGATTTTCTACACTATTTTAAAGTTTTAGAATTGGCTTTTGGTTCTGAATTCTGATCAGTTCTTGTAAGAAAAATGCAGCATTTGGAGATTCTAGATCAGTTAGTTCGGATGATAGCAAAAGTAAGAAAACGAAGCGAACAGAATGGACTTCAGCATCTTCAGCTCCACTGACTGAAGGTAGAGAGTCTCGTATTTTTCATAACATGTAATCAACGTTTAGACAATGTCATGATATAGAAGATGTTGAAATCCTTTCTCGACTCTTACTCGTAAACATTCTGAATACCTGAATGATTATTACAGGTATAGTTATGGATGTAAGGAACACTAACAACTCAAGTATTGAAGAGTCCAAGAAAAGAGGAATGGTTCTTCCTTTCCAGCCACTGTCCCTTGCATTTAATCATATCGACTATTATGTCGATATGCCAGCTGTAAGTAACATCTCTTGGTATTTAAGCTAATTTTCTGGTAATATATATACATGTTTTAAAGCTTAATGTTGAATGGATCCTGGTCGAAAACACCTAACTCTTTGTCAACTACTATTTGAGCTACCGAATAATCTTTAGTAATCTTGAGTAATACTTTTTAAGGCAGGGGAGGAGTGGAATATGACCTTCTGTGGCTTAATACAGTTCTAATACTTTATCAGGAAATGAAAGACCAAGGAGTTGACGAGACTCGTCTCCAATTGTTACGAGATGTTAGTGGTGCTTTCAGACCTGGAGTTCTTACAGCCTTAGTTGGTGTGAGTGGTGCTGGAAAGACCACGTTAATGGATGTCTTAGCAGGAAGGAAAACGGAAGGCTACATTGAAGGAAGCATCAACATTTCTGGCTATCCAAAGAATCAGTCAACGTTTGCTCGCATAAGTGGTTATTGTGAACAGAATGACATTCATTCTCCACATGTTACTGTTTATGAGTCATTGGTATACTCAGCTTGGTTGCGTCTCTCTCCAGATGTAAAAGAGTACACACGGAAGGTGTCCTCTCTTATCTTATCTTTTTTCTTCGTATTATAAGTGAAGTTACTCAACTCTGTTTTCTGTTAAAAATGAGGTTAAGAACTGACTTCAATTTTGCTGTCTTGTTTAGAATTTCGTCGAGGAAATAATGGAGCTGGTTGAGTTGAATCCACTGAGGGACTCCCTCGTAGGACTTCCAGGGGTAGACGGTCTCTCAACTGAACAGAGGAAGAGGCTGACTATAGCTGTAGAGCTGGTAGCAAATCCATCTATTATTTTCATGGATGAACCGACATCAGGACTTGATGCTAGAGCTGCAGCAATTGTGATGCGAACTGTGAGAAACACCGTGGATACCGGGAGAACTGTTGTCTGCACTATCCATCAGCCAAGCATAGATATCTTTGAAGCATTTGATGAGGTAGTTAGTACAAGCAGTGTTGGATTTCATAACTCGTGGATGTTCGTTCATTGTGATGCAACTGTTCTTCTCGTAATCATGTCTAACGATTTTCTTTCAGCTGTTATTGATGAAAAGAGGAGGACAAGTCATATATGCAGGGCCTCTTGGTCATCATTCTCACCTACTGATCGAGTATTTTCAAGTGAGAATCATATCTTAATCAGATTTTACGGGTGGGGGACTATTAGAACAAATCATCGACTAAAGAACTGTTTTTCTCCCTCAGTCTATTCCAGGGGTTCCTGGAATCAAAGAGGGATATAATCCTGCTACTTGGATGCTGGACATCTCGTCTCCGGCTGTTGAGGCTCAACTTCAAGTAGACTTTACTCACATTTATGTCAACTCTGAGTTGTATAGGTAACTTAGAAAATAGCGTAGTTGTATCTTCTATTTTTCTTCTCGTTTGTTACCTTACTCGGTTTTTGCAGGAGGAATCAAGAACTTATCAAAGAACTAAGCATTCCTGCGCCAGGATCCAAAGATCTTCATTTCCCCACGGAATTCTCCCAACCGTTTTTTGAACAGTGCAAGGCTTGCTTTTGGAAACAACACTTGTCCTATTGGAGGCATCCACAGTATAATGCCTTTCGGTTTGCTATGACAACAATGATAGGAGTAATATTCGGAATCATTTTTTGGAACAAGGGGAACCAACTGTGAGTAATCTTCGCAAAACCAATCTACCTTATTCTGTCATCACTTTTTACCTTATAGCTAATTATGATAACAGGTTCAAACTACAAGACCTGTTAAATATCGTTGGAGCTATGTATGCTGCTGTCATGTTCCTAGGTGGAACTAATACTTTAGCTGTACAGTCTATTGTTGCTGTAGAAAGGACTGTTTTTTATCGCGAAAAAGCAGCAGGAATGTATTCAGCACTTCCTTATGCATTTGCTCAAGTAAGTAAACTAACTGTAATATATTCGAGAGAACCAATTGGTCGTTGTGAAGTACTAATTCGTACTTTTCCCATATGCAGGTTGCAATAGAGACTATCTATATTGCAATTCAAACTTTTATTTACAGTTTCATTCTATACGCGATGATTGGATTCCACTGGACAGTTGGAAAGTTCTTCTTGTTCTACTTTTTCGTATTCATGTGTTTCGTCTACTTCACTATGTACGGAATGATGCTTGTTGCACTCACTCCAAACTACCACATTGCTGCAATCGTAATGTCATTCTTCCTCAGCTTTTGGAACTTGTTCTCCGGTTTCGTCATTCCAAGAACAGTAAGTACTACACCAAGCACTGCTTAAATATCGCGTTATATTGCACATTGTTCTGATGAAAACCATAACTACATATGCAGCAAATTCCTATATGGTGGAGGTGGTATTATTGGGCTTCTCCAGTTGCATGGACAATATATGGCCTTGTAACGTCTCAAATAGGCGACAAGAACAACCCCATTGTGATTCCAGGAGGCGGCGAGGTATCAATAAAGCTGTATCTGAAGGACAGCTTTGGTTTTGAGTATGACTTCCTGGGAGTTGTTGCTGTAGTTCATGTTGCTTGGGCTGTGTTCTTCTGTTTTGTTTTTGCTTATGCCATCAAGTTCTTGAATTTCCAAAAGAGATAAAGTGAAACTTGAGTTATAATTGAAAATGTGTGAATTATAGCTATTACTGATCAAATGGAAGTGTTACTAAATCCCAAACAATATTTAAAAGGATATGCTGATATTTTTGCTTCTGCTTCGGCGGCTCAATAGAATTGGTGGCCTAAAGCCAAATCTTAAGTAAATATCTCAAGTATATTGGATAAAATTAGCACATGTGTGCAAATAGGACGTACACCTCGCGCGTCATATGTGCATTTTATGTTGCATTGTGCATTTTCGCGGAGCCAGGATTTGCATTTTATGTTACATTATGCATTTTCTATGTCATTTTCTACGTCACATAGTGGCGGAATCAGGATTTGCATTTTATGTTGCATTGTGCATTTTCTATGTCACATAGTGGCGGAATCGGGATTTGCATTTTATGTTGCATTATGCATTTTCTATGTCACACAGTGGCGGAATCGGGATTTGCATTTTATGTTGCATTATGCATTTTCTATGTCACATAGTGGCGGAATCAAGATTTGCATTTTATGTTGCATTATGCATTTTCTATGTCACATAGTGGCGGAATCAGGATTTGCATTTTATGTTGCATTGTGCATTTTTTATGTCACACAGTGGCGGAATCAGAATTTTTAATAAGGGGTTGATAATATGAGAAGTAAACACGTGAACTAGTGGAAGAGGGTTCGATATCTATTATACATATTTGAAAAATAATTTTAACCTTATATAAATTGTAATATTTTCCGCCAAAGGAGATTCTGATGAATCTCGCAAAGAGTCACACATACATATTTTGTGTTGATTAGTACTTCAGAAAAATTAGTGCAAGCTCAAAAAGGATAGAAGGGTGATATTATATTCTTATTTCAATTACTTGATAGATAAATTTATCTTATTTATTAAAAATATAATAATTTTTCATTCGATATTCAGCACGCACTTATCGTTTTGGGTCAAACTAATTCGAATTCACACAAAGTTTAGTGAAAAAATTACTGAATTTTGTTTCGTCCTTTGTCTATTTTGACTTGTTTAGTATATACTGACTTGATACACCTCTTAAATCAATCAATAAAATAATTTTTTTACTATATCATCCTTTAAATATAATAAATTCGATACATATCCATAAAGTGAAATCATTATGCTTATAATATATATATAGCGGATAAGTACCATTAAACACTATGAATAATTTATCTCCTAACCGAACACTTCCTTCAGAGACAGAAAGTTGCGTACCTCTTACATTAATTAACTAATAATTCAAATTTTTACCATATTTTCTGCATATATGTTTTTTGTCATTTGGTTATTATGGGGTTTACGTCGTTTGAGTTTTGCCTATTTTTTTCTCCTGCATGATAGAGTCTGTTAGTTTGTTTTTGTTTTTTTTAGTAGAAACGTGAAAAGTTTGCTCAAATATTGTTTGATTAGTACTATAAATGCAATTTTTAGGATGAAGTTTGAATCTTTCTTGATTTTTTTTGGACCCATTGTTGAATTTTTCCATATTGAGTTTGTATTTTGAGTGGAGCAATGTTAAGTTTTATAAGTGGCAGAGAGTTTGTTTTTATGTTTTTGAGTTCTTGGAGAGTGTTAAATCGATTGGATTAGATAGATATCGTGTTAACAGATATTGGCAGTAGTTTATTGAAACAAAGGGTTTAAAGGGTGTTTCTTTGTTTTGTTTTTGTGTTGTTGAAGAGGGTAAAATCGATAGGATTAGATAGATATCGTGTTAACAGAATTGTTCTTTGTAGTTTGTTATGAGTAGTAAAGAGTTCATTGAAACATAGGATTTAAAGGGTGTTTTTTTGTTTTTGTGTTGTTGAAGAGGGTGAATGATCTCGGGGACTCACTAAAGTACGAAAGCTAGGATCTTTGAGGGAAAAAAAGGAATGGAGGCAACATTAAGCCGGGGTGAGCGGGCCAAGTCATTGAGCCGGCGGTCCATGAGTAGACGTGGCCCGGGGATGAGTAGTTCGAGTTGGACTACACCTGGTGTTAGTGAAATGTATGGTACTGCACCAGGAAGTGATGTTTTCGAGAGAAGTAGAAGGGAAAATGACGATGAACAAGAGCTAAAATGGGCTGCGATTGAGAGGCTTCCTACGTATGATAGGCTGAGGAAAGGGATTTTGAAGCAAACATTGGATGACGGAGAGACGAAATATCATGAAGTTGATCTTGTCCATCTTGGATTACAAGACAGGAAACAACTCTTAGAAGGTATTCTTAAATTAGTTGAAGAAGATAATGAGAGGTTCCTTCGTAGATACAGAGACAGGACCGATAGGTGAGTGAAAATAAACAAATGTAGCAAAGTTCCTTGATCTTAGTTAATTATGTTTTGATCAACTTTTGCATGGAACAGGGTTGGAATTGAGATTCCGAAAGTTGAAGTTCGATTTGAGCATCTTCGTATTGATGGAGATGCATATGTTGGATCTAGAGCACTGCCTACTCTATGGAATGCTTCCATCAATTTTGTAGAGGTACTATTTCATTTCAATCAAAATTTATTGATGTTGTTTTGTATACTTGTTAAAGTTTTCATTTAATTTTTGTGGTCATTGTAGTTGTTAAATAAGCTGACAAAATATGGTAAATGTACTGATGATTTGATTATTTTTTTCCGTATCCGAATCTCACAGGGGTTTCTCCAAAAGATCAAGATTGTCCCTTCAAAGAAAAGAGTTGTCAACATACTACGCGATGTGAGTGGAATCATAAGACCCTCAAGGTATGTTCATCAGACTACAGTTTCATTTAGAGTTAACCTATGAATCTAAATTATGGACAGTAAAGGATTTTAGGTACATCTCAATTAGTTTATCATTGTGTTAAAAAACAGAAAAATGTATCACTTCATCTAGTCTTGTTTATGATGGTTGGGACGGGCATTATGAAGATTGGAGCTCACTTATATGTTATGTGGTTCTTGTATTTTATAGGATGACGCTACTTCTGGGGCCTCCTGGTGCTGGGAAAACTACATTGCTAAAAGCACTTGCCGCGGTTCCAGATAAGGACTTAAGAGTGAGTGACTTTTGAACTTTCAGTTTCAATATCTTAGCCTGAAAGTTTTAATTAAGTGGTGTTTTGCCGGCAATGTGTTATTCTTTTAGGTGAATGGAAGAATCAGTTATTGTGGTCATGAACTGTCAGAATTTATTCCTCAAAGGACATGTGCTTATATAAGTCAGCATGATATTCATCACGGAGAGATGACAGTTAGAGAGACGTTGGATTTTGCAGGACGTTGTTTAGGAGTTGGAACAAGATATGAGCTGCTTACTGAATTATCAAGGCGTGAAAAGGATGTAGGAATTAAACCTGATCCTGAGATGGATACATATTTGAAAGCTACCGCTGTTTCAGGCCAAGAATCTAGTCTGGTCACAGACTATGTCCTTAAGGTTAGACTCCTGGTTGCACTTGTAATTATTTCTGCATGTACAAACTACCTAGAACTGATTATTGAAGTGAATTATAGATACTTGGGATGGATATATGTGCTGATATATTGGTCGGTGATGATATGAGAAGGGGTATATCTGGTGGACAGAAAAAGCGGCTCACAACGGGTATGTGGATGTCATGTCAATCAAGGGAAGAGCATGATATAAGCGTTGTTGTTTGCGTCTTGTCTCTCGCAGCATCTAGGTTTTCTGAGTTTCTTGTAGGTGCATGTGCCACGTGACAACATTTAATGTGAAATTGGTTTTTTGACTGAATGCAGGAGAAATGTTGGCTGGTCCTGCTAAAGTTTTCTACATGGATGAAATATCAACTGGCCTCGACAGCTCAACCACCTTTCAAATTGTGAAATACATGAGGCAAATGGTCCATATTATGGATGTAACCATGATAATCTCTCTGCTTCAACCTGCACCAGAAACCTATGATCTTTTCGATGACATTATATTGCTTTCTGAGGGAAAAATTGTCTACCAAGGTCCACGTGAGAATGTCTTGGAGTTTTTTGAGAGTGTTGGATTCAAATGCCCAGAAAGGAAAGGAGTTGCTGACTTCCTGCAAGAGGTTACTTCTCTAAAGGATCAAGAACAGTATTGGTTCCGAAGAAATGAACCTTACAAGTATATTTCAGTGGCTGAATTTGTAGAGCGCTTTACTAATTTTCATGTTGGACAACAGCTTTTTGAAGAACTTGGAGTTCCTTATGACAAAAGGAAAACTCATCCTGCTGCACTGGTTACTGAGAAGTATGGTATCTCCAACATGGAACTCTTCAAGGCATGCTTATCGAGGGAATGGCTATTGATGAAGCGAAATTCCTTCTTATACATATTTAAGACATTCCAGATCACTCTGACGGCAATAATTACCTTTACAGTATTCTTTAGAACAGAGATGAAAACTGGTCAGATCGCAGATGGAGGCAAATTTTATGGTGCCTTGTTTTTCAGCCTCATCAATATAATGTTCAATGGTACAGCAGAGCTTGCACTTACCGTTATCAGACTTCCTGTGTTTTATAAACAGAGAGATTCTTTGTTTTACCCAGCTTGGGCTTTCGCTCTTCCCATTTGGCTTTTAAGAATCCCCCTTTCTTTTGTGGAATCACTGATATGGATCGTGCTTACTTATTACACCATCGGGTTTGCTCCTGCTGCAAGTAGGTATGTTCTCTGTTCACTCCGAACAACCAAAAATTCTTGTGGTGCAATTGTTAGGCTGATGAGTCATGATATTTGGTCAATGTGAATTTATGGTGCACATATAACAATTAGTTTAGGAACTATATGAATCCATAATTATATTCTTGCACCTGCGAAATTTTCAGGTTTTTTCGCCAATTCTTGGCATTTTTTGCTTTGCATCTATCGGCTCTGTCTCTCTTCCGTTTTATTGCTGCACTTGGAAGGACTCAAGTAGTTTCTAGCACTTTTACAACTTTCACAATATTGATAGTCTTTGTGCTTGGTGGTTTCATCGTTGCAAAAGGTTGGTTTACTATTGAGAGTTCTTTTATAATCTACAAATATGAAAATTTCACATGGCATGTCCAGTATTTTGAATGCATTTCTGTGTACTGGTGCAGATGACCTGGAACCATGGATGCAATGGGGCTACTATATTTCTCCTATGACATATGGACAGAATGCAATTGCCATCAATGAGTTTCTGGACGAAAGATGGAGTACTGTAAGCATTACCATTACTTCATAAAAATGATGGCATTTATTGCTGACACTTTCCATCAACGTTAATTTATCTTGAGACATCTTATCCGTTGCTCTTTGCAGCCCAACAATGACACAAGATTTTCTGAGCCAACAGTCGGCAAGGTTCTTCTCAAGGCAAGGAGCATGTATACAGAAGACCATGTTTTCTGGCTCTGTGTTGTTGCCCTATTTGCCTTCTCGTTTATCTTCAACTTTGGCTTTATCTTGGCGCTGACATACCTAAACCGTAAGTCCCAGATAGTCTGTACTATTTATAGTTTTATAATCGTCTTTTGGTTCTGATCAAATCTTGTAAGAAAAATGCAGCACTTGGAGATTCTAGGTCAGTTATTTCAGATGATGACAGAAGTAAGAAAAAGAAGCAAACGGAGCGGAGTTCACCAATTTCAACTCCAATGACTGAAGGTCAAGACTCTTGCATCTATCCATTTCTCATGGCTACAGCTTTTATTTGTACAAAATGATTATTTTTATAAAGTAAGGTAATGTTATGATGTAATAGTACCAAGGATGCCAAGCGCCCGGCCAAATTACTTCCTTAGAGAATTCAAAATATTCTAAGAAAACACTCCAAAAAAGATGCTTCTCAAAGAAACACTTCTTATTCCTCCTAGCCAGATGATCCACATGATGCATAAGGGAATGGTCCTCCAAACGTATTTCAATCTTCTGTCAATTTGCTGTCATTACCAAGCTGATACCAATTTTTCCCTTTCTTGAGCTCTAATAAAGAGAACGCCTTTTTCATTAACTTTGTGAACTGATGAATATTTGACCTCTGTAAGAATCTAGTGGGAGGCCTTGATAGAATCTTAGGACGTTATCCCCAAGCGCGTTCCTGCACATTTGTATGAAATGAGAAAAAGACCGTTAGAAGAACCATGTACTGGTACGACGTTGGTCAATCCAGATTTAAGAATATTCATATCATTGGATTGTGCATCTGCAGTTAAAAATATTCTTGAAGGTCTGTAAATTATCTCTGAAATGCATGATTCTGGTGGCGGTATGGACATTCTGTATATGACCATCCTTCATAAATTGCAATCAATGACACTATACGGGAGATGTTGAATCCTCTCTCTTCTTTTACCAATTGTACATATTCTGACTACCTGAATGATTATTACAGGTATATCTAGGGGCATAAGGGACACTAACAGCTCCAGTAGTGAAGAAGCCAAGAAAAAAGGAATGGGGCTTCCTTTCCAGCCCTTGTCAATTGCATTTAATCATATGAATTATTACGTCAATATGCCAGATGTAAGTAACATCTCTTGCTATTTAAACGTTACCTTTGCTATGATTTAGTTCTTATTAGTTATCTGGTATTCAAGAATAGATGTTTCTCAAGGAATTCCTAACAATCTTCGGGAAGCTGGACACTTTGTGAATATATATTGTGTGTGCGCGCATTTCTCTTTCTCTCTCTCTCTCTCTCTCTGTCTATGTATTAAAGCTATGTGTGTTTGTTAGTCACCTACTCTTTGGACCTACGGCATAACATGTCCTGTTTTTAAAGAACTGGCGCTAGCGATATTCAGAACTTTCTATTTGATTTGCATGATTAGTACCATGTTCTAATGATCATTTGGCTAAACTAGTGGGAAATGTTTCCTAACAATCTTTTAGAGATTATGATCGAAGTTTCTAAAAGAAAAAGCTTTCCTGAGTTACCAAACAACCTGTTGAATTCTTGACTTGGTATTATAAAGGCAGGGAGGAGTGGAATATGAACTTCTGTGGCTTATACAGTTGTATTTTATCAGGAAATGAAAGTCCAAGGAGTTGAGGATACTCGTCTCCAATTGCTACGAAATGTTAGTGGTGCTTTCAGGCCCGGAGTTCTAACGGCCTTAGTTGGTGTAAGTGGTGCTGGAAAGACCACCCTGATGGATGTTCTAGCAGGAAGGAAAACAGAAGGCTCCATTGAAGGAAGCATCAGTATTTCTGGTTATCCAAAGAATCAATCAACTTTTGCTCGCATAAGTGGTTATTGTGAACAGAATGACATTCATTCTCCACATGTTACCGTTTATGAGTCGTTGGTATACTCAGCTTGGTTGCGTCTCTCTCCAGATGTAAAGAAACAAACACGGAAGGTCGGCTAACTTGTCTTATCCTCTGAAGTCTTTGTACTTCTTTTTTTTTTTGGGGTCAACTAGTAACATTTTCATTCAACATTGTTATCTTCATGAAGAAGTCTACTCTATTTTCTGTTAAAACCCTGACAGTTCTCGTAGAAGAGGAGGTCAAGGACTGACTTTGATTTTTGGTCCTGTTTAGAATTTTGTCGAAGAAGTAATGGATTTAGTCGAGTTGAATTCTCTGAGAGACTCCCTAGTTGGCCTTCCAGGGGTAGATGGCCTCTCAACTGAACAGAGAAAAAGGCTGACCATAGCTGTAGAGCTTGTGGCAAATCCATCTATTGTTTTCATGGATGAACCAACATCAGGACTTGATGCTAGAGCTGCAGCAATTGTGATGCGAACCGTAAGAAACACTGTGGATACTGGGAGAACTGTTGTCTGCACTATCCACCAGCCCAGCATAGATATCTTCGAAGCATTTGATGAGGTAGTTAGTGCACGCAATGTTGCATTTCATAACCTGTGAGTACCCATTCTTGTGACGCAACTGTTCTCATAATCATCTCTAATGATTTCCTTGCAGCTGTTACTGATGAAAAGAGGAGGACAAGTCATATATGCAGGGCCTCTTGGTCATCATTCTCACCTGCTGATCGAGTATTTTCAAGTTACGATCATATGTTTATCATATTTATGAGGATGGGAGTCTCTCTAATAGAACAAATCAGCAACTAAAGAGTTGTTTTTTTCTCAGTCTGTTCCAGGGGTTCCTGAAATCAAAGAGGGAATCAATCCTGCTACCTGGATGCTGGATGTCTCTTCTCCGGCTGTTGAGGCTCAACTACAAGTAGATTTTGCCGACATTTATGCCAACTCTGAGCTGTATAGGTAATTTAGAAGATTGAGTAGTTGTATTTTTCTTTTTCTTCTGGTTTGCTATTACTAAACCTTGGACCTTCCTTACCGGTTTTTGCAGGAGGAATCAAGAACTTATCAAAGAACTAAGCATTCCCGCACCAGGATCCCAAGATCTTCACTTCCCCACGAAATTCTCTCAACCGTTTTTTGAACAGTGCAAGGCTTGCTTTTGGAAACAACACTTGTCCTATTGGCGGCATCCACAGTATAATGCCATTCGGTTTGCTATGACAGCAATGATAGGAGTAATATTTGGAATCATCTTTTGGAATAAAGGGAACCAATTGTGAGTAAATCTTCTTCGTTGAGTCCCAAAATTAACATTGCGTAATAACAATCTTTCTACTTTTGTCATCACTTTTTTCCTCATAGATAAATTGTGATAACAGGTCCAAACAACAGGACCTGTTAAATATAGTTGGAGCTATATATGCGGCTGTTATGTTCCTCGGTGGAACTAATACTTCAACCGTGCAGTCTGTTGTTGCCATAGAAAGAACAGTCTTTTATCGAGAGAAAGCAGCAGGAATGTTTTCAGCACTCCCTTATGCATTTGCTCAGGTTAGAGTAACTTCAATCAAACATATGCTATAGAATTTCTGGAAAATCAATTGATCATTGATAAGCGATTCATACTTGTGGCATATGCAGGTGGTCATAGAGACTATTTATATTGCGATTCAAACATTTATTTACAGCCTTATTCTGTTCACAATGATTGGATTCCAGTGGACGGTTGGAAAGTTCTTTTTGTTCTACTTTTTTGTTTTCATGTGCTTCGTCTACTTCACTATGTATGGAATGATGCTTGTCGCACTCACTCCAAACTACCACATTGCTGCAATCGTAATGTCTTTCTTCCTCAGCTTTTGGAACTTGTTCTCTGGTTTCGTTATTTCAAGAACGGTAAGTAAGCCAAGCACTGCATGATCAAAATAATAAGAAGAAAGATCTTAGTATTGTGCATCTTTCTGATGAAACCATAATTTCATATGCAGCAAATTCCTATATGGTGGAGGTGGTACTATTGGGGCTCTCCAGTGGCATGGACAATATATGGCCTAGTAACGTCTCAAGTAGGCGACAAAAGCAATCTCATTGAGATACCAGGAAGTGGTGAGGTATCGTTAAAGTCGTATCTGAAGGAAAGCTGTGGTTTTGAGTATGACTTCCTGGGAGTTGTTGCTGCAATGCATGTAGTATGGGCAGTTTTCTTCTGCTTTGTTTTTGCTTATGCCATCAAGTTCTTGAATTTCCAGAGGAGATAAGTGAAATTTGATTCTGAATGTAGAGTTTTGCATTCACATAAAATGTGCATAAGCTACGGATAGATAATTTTTTCTGGAGAACTATAGCCTACTATAATGAATTTTAGTTTTTTGCTCACTGAGCTCATTTCATGGTTGCACAGAAATTATTCTTTTTGTGTGTCAAATTCATCATTTTTTTTTGTGGAAATTTCTTCAAGGCATTATTTTCATGAACCACTGTGATGTGATTGTATAACTCCTTCACGTGACGCTTGCAAATAATATAACGAGTCCTAAGTTTGAATAAAAGAGACAGAATGGATATATAGATGATTCATGTAATGAAGCTCAATAGTTATTAGTTTGGATTTTTAATTGAGGCATAATTTGTTTTGAATACCAGCATGATAGATATGATGAGTATGGTTTGTGTGGTGGTTTAGCTTTAAAAACTCTTGCAATTGGCGAGTGTACACTTCAACTTTGGGTATGCACATCTAGACACATCAACTCGTGTTCACTGTGCATAACTTACAAAATGATCATCTAGACACTCCAAAATTTGTGTTACGTCAGTGTCGGAGTCTACGAGATACTGTGGGTACGAGTTGGAGGGCTTAGTTTTCACTTGAACCAAGTTGAGGTGTCTAGATGTACACTTTCAAAGTTGGAGTACTTAGTTGCCAGCTAAGGTAAGGTTTGAGTTTTTGTTTATGTATTACGATTCATTTCCCAAGTTCAAATTTAACAGGTAACTAAAGCAGAAAGCATACACACAAATGCATGTTATATAAGTTTACCAATTGAAAATCTTGATACTCCAAATCTGTCTGTAACAATGAAAAAGTTGTAAATTTGAAGTCTCATATACAATCAAGAAAAGACAAAAACTTGAATCTGTTGGAAGCTCCAAAATCTGACAAAACATGGTATACAAAAAAAGTATGATAACCTGTAAACTCTAAAATATACTAATTCTTGGCTTTATTATCATCTGCAAACATAGAAACCTCCACTATATATACTTCCCAACTAATTTATTCCAATCAACCCAAGGTTTTCCCTTTCTGCTCTACAGTTGAAAGTCAAAAATATAAGAAAAGGGAAATACAAAAAGCCAAAAAATTAAAAGCCTTAGATTTAAAAGTTACATTATTTTCATTCATACTGATTCTATCTCATCCACTGTATATACTTAAGTAAGTTCCTGATTTATTTAATGCTATTCCATTGAGTGGCATATCCATCTACATCCTTCGTCGGAAAATTATATTTTTTATATAGAAAACAATATTGTGTATATAGTTCAAATTTTACTTTTGATAGATAGATATATTAAATCTTGAATGCTTTTAGCGAAATTTCTGGTTTCGCCATTGCTATTAAGCATAACTTAAGTAACACATTTTTGTTTTTCCATTGTTGAGTAGAACAGCATTGACGGAAATATTCAAGAATACTTGGTCCTGGACAGGGTGAAAAAGCTCTGTAGAGGATAAGGATGGCTTCATCAATGAGGGAAAATGAGCTGGTGAGGTCTATGAGCAAAAAGCCGAGCTTTTCGTCAGCTAGCAGGAGGGGATCTTGGGCTTCAGCAAGCCTTCGCGAGGCATTTGGTGCACCAGGAGGGGATGTTTTCGTGAAAAGCGGAAGGCAAGATGATGAAGATGAGCTGAAATGGGCTGCAATCGAGAGGCTTCCTACTTATGACAGAATGAGGAAGGGAATCTTGAAGCAAGTCTTGGACAATGGGAGAATTGTTCATGAGCAAGTTGATGTAGCTCATATGGGAATGCACGAAAAGAAGCAACTTATGGAAAATATACTAAATGGTATTGATGAAGATAATGAGAGGTTCCTTCTCAGGCTTAAAGATCGTATCGAAAGGTGAAAAAAAATATACAAACTGCTTTTCAGATTTTGAAAGAATCAAAGTTAATCCTTTTTGGAGTAAAAAGTATGAGATGTTAAACTTTGTCAAACAGGGTTGGAATCGATATTCCAAAAATCGAAATCAGGTTTGAGCACTTGTCGATTGAAGGAGATGCGTATGTTGGCAGCAGAGCGCTTCCAACACTGTGGAATTCAACAATCAACTCATTAGAGGTAGTTAAATTTGCATTATCTGAATCTTTTGTATATCTAAGAATTTGATCAGAAAATATTTATTCAACTATTGATACTTAAGTTTGAGGATCACTCTTTGTTTTCTTATGTCAAATAGGGACTTCTTGGGCTTGTTAGGCTTTCGCCGTCTAAGAAGAAATCTGTCAAAATACTGGATGACATTTCTGGAATTGTAAAACCATCTAAGTATGAAGTCCTTTTCCTAATATTTAGGCCTCCTTTATAATATCTTTTGACATAGTTGAGTTTCTGACCAGTTGCTATCACTGTTTTCTGTAAAAAATTTGGACTCTTATTATTAGGATGACACTGCTTCTTGGACCTCCAGCCTCCGGAAAAACTACGTTGTTGAAGGCACTTGCAGGAAAGCTGGAGCAAGATCTTAGGGTGTGTCATTTTCTTTCAGACAGATCATTCTTGCTGTTCTTTTAATGAAAAAACTGATAATCTTGTTAAAACTTGACATTCTTGAACTTTGTTTCTTTCAAACTAATGTAGGTAAAGGGGAAGGTCACCCACTGTGGTCATGAACTCAAAGAGTTCATTCCTCAGAGAACTTGTGCTTATATCTGCCAGCATGATCTTCATCATGGTGAGATGACAGTAAGAGAGACCTTGGATTTCTCGGGGCGTTGCTTTGGAGTTGGTGCCAGATATGAACTTCTAGCTGAGCTCTCGAGACGAGAAAAAGAATCAGGAATTAAACCAGACCCTGAGGTAGATGCATTCATGAAAGCGATATCAGTGGCTGGGCAAAAGACCAATTTGGTCACTGACTCTGTTCTTAAGGTTTGATTTCCCTCCTAAAATATGAAGTTCCATTTATTTTCCACATATGTTAAGGTGACTAACTAGTTCTTTGCACCAGATACTTGGACTGGATATTTGTTCTGATACAATGGTGGGTGATGAAATGAGAAGGGGTATTTCTGGTGGACAAAAGAAGCGTGTAACGACAGGTATATGATGAATAAAACTAGCCAAGCTTGTAAAGTTGGTTTTGGTAATTATATTCTCAAGAAAGATCATTATCAAATTGAAATATGATAATACATACTAAAAGGTTGTTAATGGATCTGAATGCAGGAGAAATGTTGGTTGGACCTGCAAAAGTTTTCTTGATGGATGAAATCTCGACTGGCCTTGACAGTTCAACAACATTTCAAATAGTCAAATATATGAGACAGATGGTTCATATCATGAATGTGACCATGATTATCTCCCTACTTCAGCCAGCCCCAGAAACCTTTGATCTATTTGATGAGATTATCTTGCTTTCAGAAGGGCAGGTTGTCTACCAAGGTCCACGTGAAAACGTTCTTGAGTTCTTCGAGAGTGTTGGATTTAAATGTCCTGAAAGGAAAGGAGTTGCAGATTTTCTTCAGGAGGTTACTTCCAAGAAAGATCAAGAGCAATACTGGTCCAAGAAGAACGTTCCGTATCAATTTGTGTCAGTACGTGACTTTGTTGAGCACTTCAAATCCTTTCATCTCGGGCTAAAGCTTTTCGGTGAAGTTCAAGTTCCTTATGACAGAAGTAGAACCCACCCTGCAGCATTGGTGAAAGCAAAGTATGGTATCTCTAACAAAGAACTCTTTAAGGCATGCTTATCAAGGGAGTGGTTGTTGATGAAACGCAACTCCTTCGTCTACATTTTCAAGACTGTTCAGATCACCATCATGGCTATCTTTACATTCACTGTATTCTTTAGAACGAAAATGAAGCACGGTGAAGCAGAAGATGGAGGAAAATTTTATGGTGCACTGTTTTTCAGCCTTCTCAATGTGATGTTCAATGGCATGGCTGAGCTTGCAATGACTATTTTCAGACTACCAGTCTTCTTTAAACAACGAGATGCTTTGTTCTATCCAGCATGGGCTTTTGCTCTTCCAATTTGGCTCCTTAGGATCCCCATCTCACTGATGGAATCAGGAATATGGATCCTCCTCACATACTACACTGTTGGATTTGCACCTGCAGCTGACAGGTATGTCCACTATATTCAAAGCTATGATACAGCTTCAGCTAAGAGTATTATTTTATTGTAGCGACTGTTCCTTTTTTAGTATGCTATGTCATGTGGTCTTTAGTGGATTCTTCACTCCAAGTCGTTTTGATTTTCAAACTGCTTTGTGATGCTTTCACTTGAGTGGAGGAGGGTCTATTGTAAACAGCCTCTATGCCTCTCAAGGTAGGGGTAAGGTCTGCATACACACTACCCTCACCAAACCCCACTTGTGGAACACACTAGGTATGTTGTTGATACAACAACAGATCCTATCTGACAATCGCGAACTTACAAAATTTGCTAACAAGTTCATCACCTTAAATAGGTTTTTCCGGCAGTATTTGGCCTATGTGGGAATTCACCAGATGGCGTTGGGACTCTTTCGTTTCATTGCAGCCCTTGGAAGAACACAAGTAGTGGCCAACACTCTTGGTACCTTCACATTGTTGTCAGTTTTTGTCCTTGGTGGATTTATCATTGCCAAAGGTTAGCAACTGAAACTAGATAGATAAAGCTAATGAATTGAGCCTAGTTAATCATTTCTAGATTGAAATTCCATCATACTGTGATTCTGATATATATAACTTGTTGTTCCAACAGATGATCTCCAACCTTGGATGAAATGGGCCTATTACCTTTCCCCCATGTCATACGGACAGAATGCAATAGTTCTTGTTGAGTTTCTTGATAAAAGATGGAATAAGGTAAATGAGCTTGTATTTACTTACGTCTTAGATATTCATTTTTTATTTCTGTTTTTTGATATCCTAAGAATATTTTACTCTACTCTCTTCTAGCCCAATGAGGATCCAAGCTTTCAAGGGAAAACAGTTGGAATAGAGCTTCTTAAAGCCAGAGGGATGTTCACAGAGGACATTTGGTACTGGATTTGTGTTATTGCACTGTTCTCGTTCTCATTGTTTTTCAACCTCTGCTTCGTTGCAGCACTCACATACCTAAAACGTAAGAGATGATACTTGATATTGAGTTTCTTCCTTTTATGGACACAAGTTTTAGTTTTGACCATCTTTTAAAACTTGATTGCAGCTCTTGGAGATACTAAATCTATTATGGTGAATGAAGAAGACAGTCAAAACAAGGAAAAGAAGATGAAAGTAACGCCGCATGAAGGTTCAGGAAAGAACACTTCAGAAGATATAAATTCAAACAGTGCAGCCAGTGCAACCAACAAAAAGGGCATGGTGCTGCCCTTCCAGCCTTTGTCCCTTTCATTTGAGCATGTGAATTACTATGTTGATATGCCTGCTGTAAGTTCTTTTCTCTATTTCTAGTGGTTCACTATAAATGTGAGTCAGATGTTGCAAGTATGGTTTCGTTTGGCATATCTTCAATAAATCCTGCATCCAATGTTGCCTGTATATAATCGAAATTCCTTACTGGTCGATGAATGATCTCTGAATCAGGAAATGAGAAGTCAAGGAATTGAAGAAACGCGACTCCAGCTTCTACGAGAAGTAAGTGGTGCTTTTAGACCAGGTGTACTAACAGCATTAATGGGTGTGAGTGGTGCTGGAAAGACTACTTTGATGGATGTTTTAGCTGGAAGAAAAACCGGTGGATACATTGAAGGGAGTATCTGTGTTTCTGGCTATCCAAAGATTCAAGAGACCTTCGCTCGAGTTAGTGGCTACTGTGAACAAAATGACATTCATTCTCCACATGTCACTGTTTATGAATCTCTTCTATACTCAGCGTGGTTGCGTCTTCCTTCAGATGTCAACAACGAAACTCGAATGGTACAGTACATTCTCCTCTTATTTTGCCTGCAAGATTTTCTTTTCATCCACTGAACAAACATTTTCCATTCTCTTGTTTTATTCAGATGTTCGTGGAAGAAGTGATGGAGTTGGTTGAACTTACATTATTAAGAAACTCTCTTGTTGGCCTTCCAGGAGTTGATGGATTATCGACTGAACAAAGAAAGCGGCTTACTATAGCCGTGGAGTTGGTTGCTAATCCTTCCATCATCTTCATGGATGAGCCAACATCCGGTCTGGATGCTCGAGCTGCTGCAATCGTCATGAGAGCTGTAAGGAACACTGTAGATACCGGGAGAACAGTAGTTTGCACAATTCATCAACCAAGTATAGACATATTTGAATCATTCGATGAGGTACTAATTTTTTGAATCTTGTCCAACATCTACAACTAGTTCATACAACCATTCACTTGAACTTAGATTTATCATGACTATACAATGCCACTATCCATACAGTTATTCTTGTTGAAGAGAGGAGGACAAGTCATTTATGCTGGACCCCTCGGTCGCAATTCTCAACACTTGATAGAGTATTTTGAAGTAAGATGACTATACAATTTTGTACAATAGTTGTCATTCTATTGTAAGTCCTCTAGAATCATGCAAATGATCTTTTATATACCAATTGTTTCAGTCTGTTCCCGGGGTTAACAAGATCAAAGATGGATATAATCCTGCTACTTGGATGCTTGAGGTCAGTGCTGCATCCGTTGAGACTCAGTTCAGTATAAACTTTGCAGAAATCTATACCAACTCTGATCTATATAGGTATGAGAAACAATCAAACTGATCAATTACTATTATTCGTTGTTCTATCCCCCCTACAACTATGTTTTGATCATGCTAAGTCTCTCGTGAACTCCCCGAATTTGCAGGAGAAATGAAGAACTGAATAAGGAGCTAAGTACTCCAGCACCAGGGTCAAAAGACCTGTACTTCCCTACTAAGTACTCTCAGCCTCTATTGACTCAATTCAAGGCATGTTTATGGAAACAACATTGGTCTTACTGGAGGAATCCACAGTACAATGTCATCAGATTTTTCATGACAACGGTCATTGGAATTATATTTGGCGTCATTTTCTGGGACAAAGGAGGAAAATTGTGAGTCATTCTCCTACAACTTGAATACGGAGATTCAATTTTTAGTACTGAAGGTGAATCAACTCTTAAACGTACTATTCTTTCTATCAGTGAAAAACAGCAGGACCTTTCAAATCTTATGGGAGCAATGTATGCTGCTGTTCTATTTCTTGGAGGAACAAACACTTCTGCTGTACAATCTGTTGTAGCTATCGAGAGAACAGTGTTCTATCGTGAAAGAGCAGCAGGAATGTTTTCAGCCTTGCCATATGCTTTTGCTCAGGTATATGAGCTGAACATAAATCTCAAATGCATTGTAAAATCATCGATTTTGACAACAAATCAAAGCTTATCACTATTTGTTCCTTGACAGGTGACTGTGGAAACAATCTATGTCGGGATCCAAACATTCCTTTACAGCCTAATCCTTTACTCGATGATTGGATTCGAGTGGCAAGCTGACAAGTTCTTCTGGTTCTACTACTACGTGTTCATGTGCTTCGTCTACTTCACACTCTATGGAATGATGCTTGTAGCCCTCACTCCAAATTACCAGATAGCAGCAATTGTCATGTCTTTCTTCCTCAGCTTCTGGAACCTCTTCTCTGGTTTCCTCATTCCTAGGATGGTAATATCCCAAAATCATTCTTCTTTTCACAAACTAAATATAATGTTTATAATAACATCTTTATACTATGAGCATGTTTGGTTAAAGCTTATAAACGCTACGCGTTTGGTAAACACTAAAACTGTTCATAAGCCAAAAACGGTCATAAGTTGAACACCTATAACTCATAACACTTCTATCCAAACACGCAACTGCTTATTTATGAGATCAACTTCAGCATTCTAAAAGTGATTTTCATCAGCTTATCAGCTAACTCGAACGGTATGTTGCAGCAAATTCCAATATGGTGGAGGTGGTACTACTGGGGTTCACCAGTTGCATGGACAATATATGGTCTCATCACATCTCAACTGGGAGACAAAACAGAACTTGTTCATATTCCTAGTCATGATGGTACTCCCACCTATATTCAACTGAAGGATTACCTCAAACAATACTTGGATTATGATTATGACTTTCTTGGAGCTGTTGCTGCTGCTCATCTTGCTTGGGTGCTTCTTTTTTTCTTTGTGTTTGTTTATGCCATCAGAGTTCTCAACTTCCAAAAGAGATAAAAGACAAGAAAATACCTTACAATAACATGTTGTATTGTTCTTTTTTCTTCATCACTATTTAAGGGAAATAATGTATGTACTAGATCTAGAATTTCATTCTTTCAAATTTGTATTAGTTGATGTTTTTGAAATGAAATAAACACAACTTTCATTCAACTTACTGATATTGCATTCCTTTTTCCTTCTGTGCCTGGTTTCAACCATTTTGTTTTTAAACTTAATTTCTAAATTTATTTGAAATTGAATTGAATCAACTTTCTTGCTTTGGATATTGATGAAATCAGCCTCGATTATGAACTAAGGTGTGTTTGGTACGAAGGAAAATGATTTCTACGGAAAATATTATCTCAAAAGCATTTATACATAATCAATAAAAACACTACAATAAGTGTGGGATGCCCCCTACAGATAATGTTCTCCAAAACAGAAAATTTAAGAACACTTCCCACAGTACCAAAACAAACCTTTACTCTCTACTTTGCTGTCATACTATGGTTAATATAGAAGACACTTTTTTCCAAGATTGTTTATAGATGTTAAATCAACATAAGCACAGAAAATAGAGAAAGCATAAGCTAAAAGAAGCTTGGCCTTTACCCCATAAATGTTATGTGCTTGATTTGCACCAAAGTTTTACAAAAGGCAATCTACAGCACTAATGTAGCAAAAGAACAGCCAATAATGAAGCAAAAAAGAGAGGTACCATAAGCTAGCTTTATAGGTTTTTAAAGTTTGATACAAAGCTGTGGATATGAACTGAATTCTACCCAATTCACAATCCTTCAGTTTTCTTTGTACCTTCCTTTCATCCTACTATATCTACATTACTTTCTCTCTTTTTCCCCTTTCTGTGATTCAATTTCTATGTTCTGAAAAGATGATGGCTGGTGGGGTTCTCTCCAGCTGCGATGAAAACTAAAATCCTTAATCTTTCCCAACGGATTTGACAGGAGCATCTACAAAATCATGAATCTCCTTTTTGCTCTTGATTAAACTTCTCCTCCTGGTGTCGATATCAACTTTATCCAAGTCTTCAGCTATTCCCATGTAACCATAGAGTGAAATTTCCTCAGCTTTACCTCCCTTCACATTTCTGTTGTCAATGCCTTTTCCTTTGGTTGAAGTTATTACTCTAAAGTCTTTCCTTCCACGCTCTTCTTCCATGAAGTAGTTATGAAGCTTTTCTGCATCCTGAATGCCAGGAATAGTGCCCAAGAACTTCACCAGTAATATACTGCCATTACCAGGCTTCCCCATACAAACCTTCATTCTACCACCACTAAAACCTTTACCTGCCATTGAAGATTACAGAGGAAAAAAGGAATATTGTCATCAATTATAACGAGACAAAGAGGTAAGCACACTAAGAAAACAAATGAAGGAAACATTCTATCTGCGGGATATATTTATGAATTGCTACTGACAGTTGGATGGAAGCAGGGCAGGTCATCCTTCTCCTCATAATAACATCCCCCACCCAAGGACAGAACTCAAAACCAGATAAACAAAAAAGTTGTACAACACACGCACCTCTTAGAAAGTTCTCAACAGCTTCAGTAGTCGTAACTTTTTGCCCATCTAGGCCAGTTACCAATCCAGAGCAGTTATGTATAATAACCACTGGTGGCCAGAGAATAAGATCTTCTTTCTGGGCAAAAGCATTAGGGGCAGGAACAGCCACTGGTAACCATAGTTTGCCATCAGGGGGTGCATCACTGTTCCACCCCATTAGGACACATATTGCCTTGTGAAGACCCAAGTGTTTCGCTTTCAACCACACCTTTTGCGACATATAACAATGTACTGCCAAGGATCGAGTATCTTTGAATTCTTTCAATTGACTGAAAAAGTAAAATTTGTTAGCAGTTGTTAAGGTAAAACAAATACATGGCCAAATGTGCGAGATATAAATTTAGATGATAAGTTGAGCCATGAAAAACTGTCCATGTGAAGAACAGAAAGTGAAATCACCAACCTACCCCAGCACAAGAAGGAAAAGTCAAGAGGACAACAGGTTATCAAGCATCTTTAGCTTGACCAGGTGTACCAACATTACCAAGTCAAACTGAGATGGGAGTCATATTGAGGACTCCAGGCATGTTATAACCAACACAAGTTCAGCTTCAAATAACGATCTCCTCAGAGGCCTATATTTATATCCAGCACTTTGTTTACTCTATTGCTATTTCCTGCAATGTTTGTATTTCTTTTCCTTCATTGTACCTTGGCGGCACAGTATCTCCATAACATTGTCCTTTTATCTGACCAGACTACCCTGCAAATAGATGTTCTCTACTTTCTAATCAGGTTTCCAGGAGAATTAACTAATTTCCTGCCAACCATTTCGAGCACTACTAAATTTTTCTAAGTAAAGGCTCTTGATCACTAAGAGCCAAATCCTTAATGAACCTTCATGTAACCCTGTTTAGTTCAACAAAAATCAAGAAAGGAAGGCAGGCTTTCAGGAATTCGATATTGAGTTCCTTATCAAAAAGAGTTTGATACTAAATTGACCAATGCATAGAAATGGATTGAAGCAACTATGATTTAATCATCCTCATATGACTTGCAGAAAATATGTAACAATGTTTAGTTCTGCTGGGACATTTCCACATTTCATCTTCTCAAACATCCTATAAATTTTTCATAACAAGAACTCAATAATTGACAAGCACAACATGAATATTTACTCTTCTGGATTCATGTCATAAGTATCAATGTTAATAGTGTTTCCATTTAACAGTAATCCAAATAAGTTACAAAAAGATATCAAAACAATTAGGAGAATCAAAATAAACTTGTGGCACATATTATTCTTGAACAACCTAAATGACCATATACAGTTGTATTCTTGATGAGAGAGTGAATGCCACACAATGGTTCAACTACAACTTGTGGTGGCAAGAGGGCGGGTTGGGCTGAATTTGGGTGAGTTGAAAACGGGTCAACATATAATAGGCCAACATATAATAGGTAATAATTCAACCAGCCCGTGTGTCATATGGGTAAAAGTGGGTTGGGTAAAAGACATGTTCACCCATAGTTACCCATAATTTCATGAGCAAATAGTACTTTGTTTTAGAATTCAACATCCGGAAAATACTTTAATTTTTTAGATAAGAAATGTTTTAAGAATATTTTATTCAGTTTTATTGTATCATAAATTCATTAAAGAAAATCCTATAACTTTTCAATAAGATGAAATAATTTTAGGAGTAAAACGTGCTTCATATTGTTCAAAATGTTGTCAAGCAGCCGATCTTAGTTTCGTGGATTTTCTATTCTTTGAAGAACACTTAAAGTAATATCAGATACTTTTTCATTTGAAATTTTAGTCTCATCAATAAAACTACCAGCTCCTGCAATATATGCACATAGCAAAAGGAAACAACAGTATTCAAAACAAACGTAATTTGGAGCTTTGATCTTGTACAAAGCAAGTGAATTATATAAGCAAATATGCAACATATTGTGATCAAACAAAAAGAAATAAACATGTGATCCAACAGTGATGCCAACCATGCCCATTAATTACAAATAAACATGTGATCCAACAGTGATGCCAACCATGCCCATTAATTAATAAAAAATAAGTTCTCTATTTCAAGAAACAAATATTGATATACGTGAGTATTACTATGAACTATTAGAGCTTTCCAACTAATAATTTTCTTTTAGTGATGAATAGACAAAAAATAGCACCAACCCACTAAAAGATGGGTGGCTTGGGCTGGTTACCAAAATGTGGGCTCATTTGCAGGCACTAACCACAACCATACTTGAATCGGCATGCATTACTATGTCAGATAAGCAACTATAAGCTAGTCAAAGAATAGGAAGTCCAAAAGAAATTCAGAAAATGTGATATTTTGAAGCATCCAAGTGGCAGCGGATAATAAGTAACTAACATGTTATATGGTTAACATTCAAACACAAGTAAGGAGACGGACCTATTGGCACAAACAATGCAGAATAATCCACCAGCCCTGCCTTGCTCCTTGTATCTTTTCTGAGTTGCAACACTCTCATTCAACTTTTTGGTATAAGATAGGGAGAAATTATGTACCAATTGCGTAAATTCAATTGAGTCTTCAGGCAACTCAGGTTTTGCACAAGCTACCTGATCCTTTAATTCTTTAACCACATGGTCAGATGCTTCTGTTTGTTTGTCATCTTTGTCTCTTATCCAAACATTTTTTGTAAGATGATGTTTCTGGTTACATTGAACTGCATACTGTCTAAGTGAACTGGGATTCTCATACACCTTTTGCTTTTTACCAGAAATATATGGTCTAATAAGGTGCCTTTTCCCCTGATTTATTGAACCACAATATGACAATAAACCACCAGTGGCAGCAACTCTACCGTTAAGGTCTCTGCTGTATGCCCTTTCTGCCTTCCGAAACCACTTATCATCCTCAAAGTTCTCCGGAGACGGTAAGCAGCTAGCATCTTGATCATCCCACGCCTCGTTCCTATAATCTATATCTTGAGTTCTGCTAATGTTATTCTTCCTTTCACTGAACACAATCTGTCCAGAGCTGTGCCTCATCATTTCTTCATCTAAAATGTACTTTCTCTTCTCTGACCTTATTGGATGACCATCGCATCCAATTACACCCGATTCAATCTTCTTTGGTCGAACCCCATCTCCAATCATTTCCATTTCATGTTCAAGACGGGATGATCTCCTCCACCTCTCAGCATAGAAATTAGAGTGTTCGTCCTTGCTGCTATGGTAATCCAGTCGCCTTAGAGGAATCTCTTCATGACAGGGAACATCCAAATTTTCTATATCTGATTCTCTTACATTTTGTGTATCAACATTAGTATCACCAAAATCCAAATAAAACTGACCTAGGGTTGATCTCGCTAATGATCTGCCATCAAATAAGCTCATTGAAACTGGTTGTTTGTTCAAAGAATGGTGATCCCATGAACTACTTTTGATGACATCTCTTCGAGGGAACTCATTGTCACTAATATTCTCCCTAAGGGGTTCCAAAAGGATTTGTGCCCGGGCATGCCTTTTGTCAAGTACTGCCTGTTCAAGCAAAGTAGTCCTTTCATATGAATGACCATAATCACTAGTATCGCTTGGTCTCCCTCTAGGATATACATGATTCATATTGTCACCCCTAGGAGAACTAACTTTATCAGACTGGTAGCTTGTCAATCCCTTAAGGCCAGCTGCATAATCTTCCAGGGTATTATAACTGTGATTTTCCTCATATTTATTGAGATATAACGGTTGTCTAAGCTTTGTGGAAATCCTTGAATGAATATCTCCAAGCAAATGCATATCATCTTGAATCATTGGGGTATAATTCATCCTAGAGGTTCCAGAGGATGTGGCCAAACATTCCTTATACTGAGAGGGGAGAGCAAGATCCTTAGATTGCAACGCTGACTCCGTGTAGCATGAAACATCTTTGGGATGAAACCTATTTCTAGCACTGTCATATTCTATATCATAATCCACACCAGTGCAGCGTGCAGCTTCATATCTGTACTCATAATCAAATGATCTTCTACTCTCTTCCTCATCCCTACTCAAAGAAGCCTGATAATAATGTTGAGGCTTTTCATGCACTTGGTGATAAACAGGTGGCGATTTCAACTGAGGCTGCACTATATCGCCTCTATAACTAAACTCTTCATTTCTCACCATTAACCCACTCCTCCTCTTCTGGGCTTCTCTTATATCACCTCTACCATTAAACTCTTCATCTCTCACCATTAACCCACTCCTCCTCAACGTGGGTTCCCTTATATCACCTCTGTCACCAAATTCTTCATCTCTCACCATTAACCCACTCCTCCTCAACTGGGGTTCCCTTATATCACCTCTATCATTAAACTCTTCATCTCTCACCATTAACCCACTCCTCCTCAACGGGGGTTCCCTTATATCACCTCTGTCACAGAATTTTTCATCTCTCAGCATTAACCCACTCCTCCTCAACTGGGGCTCCCTTATGTCACCTCTATCGTTAAATTCTTCATCTCTCACCATTAACCCACCGCTCCTCAACTGGGGTTCCCTTATAACACCTCGATCACTAAAATGCTGATCTCTATCCATCACCTCCCTGCTCAACTGGCGTTCCCGTATGGCACCTCTATCACTAAAATGTTGATCTCTACCCATCACCTTCCTACTCAACTGGGGTTCCCTCATATCACCTCCATCCATCACCTCCCTCCCTAACTGGGGTTCCCTTATATCCCCTCTATCACAAAAATCTTGATCCCCAACCATCACCTCCCTTCTCTGCCAACTAACACGACGAGGCCCTTCCTCTCTCACAGGACTCAAACTCCTCTGCCTACATGAATACATTTCCATTACCCCACTATCACGTATAAAGCAACGACCATAATCCAAATCAACTCCATTCACTCCTAATCTCTCAGCCCTATAACCTCGCACTGCATTAACATCAGGCTCCACCAGCCTCATTTCTCCTCCTCCTTTTCCTTCAGTACTACCCTAAACAACTCACCCAAAATGCTCTCAGTTAGTACATCACAATACCACAATTACAAAAACAAAACACATCTACAGAATCAAACATTAACCACCCAAATCTCAAAATATATAAAATTTCCCTAACATCAGCATTTTCCGTTCGTTTCTTTCCCTTTTTTTTTCAAACTTAATCACTGGAAATAGAAACTTACTACTACTACAACAAAACCTACGTAGTTGTTATCGTTATCTCTATATACTAAAAGATGTTTCTTTATTCAAAGCTCTAAAACCCTACTACCATTTTTCTTTGGCTTTCTTACTACTTCATGCACGAATGAAGAGGAAGAACAAAATTGTGAAACGCCATTAACGATGTAGCTGAGTTGTGTGTACCAAAACTAGAAATACAGAGAATTTGTTCAGAGGATTTGATTAGAAACTTTCAATGCTGTAGAATTTAGGAACATTCTCAATATGTGCCTCTCAAAATGGAAATGCTATTCATTTTTCATTTTTCGCATTAAATTTATGTACATTTTTTTAAAAAAATGAATCTTTTTATGTTTTACGCAAGTAAATTTAACTTATTTTTCACATTAAGTTTATGTAATCGTGATAAGTAAATTGAATAGTGTAAATACGTATACGTAATCTAATAACATTTTGTTTCATGACGTATAATATTATATTATATTATATTATTTAATAAATATAATATTTTAAATATATTGTATTAATTTTTATTGTTACAATATCGTACATCAATAAACGATAAATATGAGAGCTGATAGCAACTTCACCAATGCACATATTTATGGAGCAAAATATAGTGGCAAACATCCTAAGCAAGGATGGCGTAATTCGTACAGTGCATTTTTAAAAAAACTTTTACCTACATAAAAGTCTACACAAATTACAAGAAAAAAAATAAATTTAACTTTCTAGTAAACTTAAATAATGGAAGTAGCACAACCCACAAAAGAAAAATAAAACGAATTCATAATTTACGCTAATCGATAAAATTTCAATAACTCAATGACTTTATAAAAAAAATACTAAAAATAACTATAAAATGCAAAAATCTATCGCTACGATCATATAATCTAAAATACAACAATAATTTTAATGTAATTTTATTAGATTATCAATTTTATCGTTACTCAAAATCTTATAATCAAACCATAACCAACAAAAAAATTAACAAAATCATTTAAAAACCGTTAATCCAATAATTCAATATTACACTCGGGGAATCAAATTGGCAAGTCAAAGTCGGATCCGGGTCGGATCAAAAGAAAAAAGTCGGATTCGGATCCCGTAAGGGGAACATTTTCAGCTCATATGATTTCAGGTGATTGAAGTTCTCGAAAAAAAGAGAAGCGAAAATGCACTACTGGGTTCGAGCATCTCCGGCAGATTTCGCCGGAGCAATTCCACTACCTCGAAGGTATAATGAGATTTTTTTAGTTCAATTTGTTTTCGTTATTGTCTGGATTGTTTGGATTTGAAGCTAAATTGGTTAATTTTTGTTACAATTTATCAGTGGACATACTGCTGTTAACATTGGGAAATCGAAAGTTGTGGTGTTCGGAGGATTAATTGATAAGAAGTTCCTTAGAGACATCACTGTGTATGATATTGGTATGTGATTCTCTGCTAAACAACTACTGTTTAATAAGTGATTCTCTCCTTACTTGAGTCAAACTTTGTGCGCAACACCTTGATTATTTCCTCGAGGTATCTGCCAGCTCCTGGTTGCAATAGGTTGCTAGTAACACTAGGATAGATAAGAAGAAATCACCTAATGTGTTTTTGTTTTTGCTTGGATTTGAATGTGAGACCTCATGGTTCTCGATCCACTTCATTGACTACATATTTTGTAGTTTAAGTATGCCATTTTGAGCAATGTTGGGTTTCATATTTGTTGGGAGTCTTTTCAGTTTTGACTAACATTTGTATGTCAGTATTGAAATAAATGGCATTTAGAGGATCCTATAGTTTGCTTTCTTTAAAATTTGCATTTCGCTGTCCTAGTAAGAGTGAGATTTCGGAAACCTTTTTTTGATGAGGTAAGTAGTTTAATTGACTGCATCAGTGCATAGAGTACAAAAGAGAATGTGTTAGCTCCAATATATTAAAGACTATGCTAGGACCAGGGAGCTAACAAAATCCAAAAGATTATCAGTTGTATTTACAGTCGGATAGATTGCAACAAGCCACCAACTATATAGACACAAAAGACAGCAGGTAACATTTAATTCTCTATTTATGGTCATTTTGAGCAAAGTTGCTTTCTGTATTTGTTGGGAATCTTTTCTGTTTGATTAATATTTGTATGTCAGTTGGAATGAGCAACATTTAGAGAACCTATAGTTAGTTTTCCTTAAGAATTTGCATCTCAGTGTTGGAGTATGTGTGAGATTTCATGTATGAGGTTCCAGACTTAGTAGGGGTCCTTAGTTGTAGCATTGGCTTATTCCCCACCACTTATGTAGGTCTGCCACTGGGACCAAAGCTCAAATCAAATGGAATCTGGAATGCTATCATTGAGAAATTAGTGAAGAGACTTGCCGATTGGCAAATACAGTACTTATCCATGAGTGGTAGACTGACAGTGATCAATAGTGTACTGAACAATTAGCCAACCCTCTTCCCAAGACAGTGATCAATAGTGTACTGAACAATTAGCCAACCCTCTTCCCAATACGTAATTCAGTCCTTAAGCTTGAAAAATTTAGAAGGTAAATCCTGTGGGAAGAAAACAACAAGAAAGGCAAATTTCATTTGGTGATGGAACAAAGGTACTCAACCTAAATCACAAGGTGGCTTAGGTATAAGGAGCCTTAAGCTCCACAACAAAAGCATGTTAATTCAAATGGCTATGGAGATTTGGGCGAGTGTAACTTGGCTAATGGGAAGAGGTCATCACTGCCAAGTAAAGGCTCAGAACAACTGGTTCACCAAAAAGGGTTTCATCAGGCCACGACACTAGCCTATGGAGCATATCGCTAGGCTCTAGCTACAGGAATTGATTCTTTCCGAATATCTCTTACAAGGTTGGGAATGAAGCTCATGTGAAGTTTTGGTAAAAAAAATGGATGGGAAACAAATAACTGAATGACTTTGTACACTAGCTATGATGCTTGCAATCAGGATTTCACTAGCTGAAAACAAGGAGAGAAATGCATGGAACCTCACCTTTAGAAGGAACCTTCAAGACTGGAGTATACTGACCTTATAGAGTTATAGACCTTATAGCTTCAATTCAAGGTAGCAGCATAACAGAATCATAGCTAGACAGAATGGGTCTATAAACAGTTCAAGATGGCAACAACCTCCTATGTTCTCAAGGAATTATTGATAACAGGACTTGGAAGCACACGTGGAGGAGTAACTCCATATGACAGTGATTTTCTCTGCCTGGACAATTTTAAGAGATGCTTCCTTGACTCAAGATTACTTTGACAGATGGAACAGTCCGTTGGTCAATTGATGCTACCAGTGCAAAACCTGGAATATTCCAGTAACCTATTTCTTCACTGCACAGTGACAATAGAATTGTGGAATCTCTTCATTTCCATTTTTGGATTATGCTGGGTGCAACTTTAGTCACCCAGTCTCGAAGCAGGTTAAGTAGATCTTCAAGTTCCAATCTTGTACAGAAATTTCAGAACCCTTTAGTTAGTTTGACTGGAGACTTGTATATAGTGAATTAGTGTGAGATCTAGAGAATGTCTAATTAGTTTGATTAGAGACTTGCTTGTTATGTTAGAATAGTGTGAAAAACTTGGAGAACCTTTAGTTAGTTTGGCTAGAGATATGTATTCCAGTGTAAGAATAACTTTACGTTTTACAGAACCTATAGTTTTACACTTTTACTGGACCACTAATATTTCTTTCTAAGATAAACTATCAGTACTCCAACAAAATGAGCGTGAACGGAGCGGAACAGATATGTAGAATCTTCAATGGCCAATTCCAGCCAGTGTGGGATAGTGGCCTCTTTGATAGATATTTCCTCTGGTGACATTGCCAAATTCAGCTTCTGAACCAGCTTTTTCCTGTGCATTGGATCATGGTCAGTTGTTTTGATATTCTAAATATAAATGTCGTCAATATTTCAGAAAACAAATTGTGGTTTCAGCCAGAGTGCACGGGCAGTGGTTCTGATGGCCAAGTTGGTCCTAGCCCACGAGCATTCCATGTTGCTGTCACAATTGACTGTCATATGTTCATCTTTGGTGGAAGATCTGGCGGTAGAAGGCATGCAAATGCTATGTAATTTGTATGTTATATATTATTGTGGCTTTTCAATGCCTTAAACTGGATATCTTTCCTCTTTTTCAGGTTGGGTGATTTTTGGGTCCTGGATACTGGTAAAGTTTTCTTTCTACCATGGTTATGTAAAGAAAAATGCATGATTATTTTTTGTTTCCTCTTTTCACCATCAGATGTTTTGATAAGTCAAACTAATCTCACTGATAGCTCACCAATCACTAAACTGTGCAGGTTTACATCAAAACCCCAAAATAAGCTTCTAAATATCTATATACTATTAGAGAACTCTTCTGCCCTAAAAAATACTAATGATTTGAAAGGAGTTAACTCATACATAGATCTTCAATCCCTTCAGAAGAATTCCTTTTCCTTGAAATCAGCCAAAAGACCCATTTAATATAGACACGTCCACAGCTCCTTCTTCCTAGTGTCCGTCTTCCTTGACTTCTGGTCTACCAAAGTTTCCTCCACAGCTTTCAGTAGTGTCTGTGTGGTATCAAACACAGATTATGCTAGCTGCATAACTCTGAGTAGAGCTGCAATGAAGCAGTATACATTCCACAGCCTCACAAATACCGTTTGGTTTGTATAAATAATACGAATTAGCTATTCCAGACGACTCGTACTCCTCGAGTAATCCATAGTTAGTATTTCGTTCCAGGTCATACACCATGTGAAAATAGTATTTTTCTCCCTCTCATCAGACTTCCAACTTGATTTTTTATATCTTCTGTGGTAGATATATGGCAATGGTCAGAGCTGACAAGTTTTGGTGACTTACCTTCTGCAAGGGATTTTGCAGCTGCTTCAGCCATTGGAAAGAGTAAAATTGTAATGTAAGATTTCGTCTTGCTTTTGGAGGTGCTTTTATTTCCTATCAGTCTTTCATTATTGTTTGGACTTTACTTGTATGCAGGTTTGGTGGCTGGGATGGTAAAAAGTGGTTGTCGGACGTCTATATCTTGGACACAAGTACTGTCTTTGATAGTAATTCTAGGCTTCCACTCTCCTTTTTTCTTGTCGGAAAACAATTTATCCTTAACAGTTAAAATTCTTTTGAGCAGTGACTCTTGAATGGAGGGAGCTAGCTGTTTTGGGAACTGTACCTCCGCCTAGATGTGGCCATACTGCTACTATGGTTGAGAAAAGATTGCTTGTCTATGGTGGTAGAGGTAAATATGGATGACAATCATGATTATTGTCTTGGAAATATCATGTTCCTCTC